CTAGCTTAATGTTTTGGGATTATTCAGTAAAATTACTGGGCTCTCCCACCACGACCAGGTGGTGACCACGGGAGAGTTATTATTATTGTTATTATTATTATTATTATTATTATTATTATAACTATTAAATACAAGAAATTTTTCTGTATGTCCTACTAAAATTAATCCCAATATTTAATATGTATATATATATATATTTATATTAAGAGAAGTAATAGTAACTTGTAATAGTAACTCACTGCTATATTCATTAATTGTTCGAAGATGGAACAGTTATGCAATTTAATCCAGTGACTAAACACAAATGCACAAATAATGTTTTTGACTTATAATTTTGTATTCAATTAAAATAGACCTTGCTTTGTAATAATGAATTTTTGAAAAAATATTAAATGATTTCTAAAATTCATTATTGCTATAATAAAATTACTGAACAAAAATTCTTTAATGTGTAAATATAAATATAGTTGTTATTATTATTACATTATATTAAAAATTCTGTAAGCTATATAAATTTTTTTAATTGAAAATCTATTTATAATCATCATATTGAATGTGTGTCTGACAAAATAAGAAAGTAAATTATAACATCATCACAATTTTTGTTTTATTGAAATATTACCCAAAATACTAGATAATTCTTTTTAATTAGAAATTTCAATTGATTAGCTGAATGATTCTGATTGAAATTAACTTGTTATAGTATACCTACATGTTTGGCCTCTTTGTGCTCTCTGAGCAATAAAAAGCCTAAAATCACAAATATAAAAAAAAGTATACCTACATGAAAAGAATTTTCTTTTCTTAATTTTTAATATTTCATTAATTATTGTAAAGGATATAAATTAATTAATTTCTGAGCTAATTCTTCTGATGAAACAAACCACTGATGCATTAAAAGCATAATTCGTGGGAAATTATCATTTTCTTTTTCTAATCCTCCAATTGGCACTGAAAAAAAAAAAAACTTTATAAAAAATTTTTCTACTTGACAATTTTAATACAATTAGATTTTAGTTTTATAATTAAAATAATTTTTTAGTTTAAAATTTAAAAATTTATATTATTTAATAAGTGTTGTAGACAGAACATGACAATTCAGTGAATTTACATGACCACGAGATATAGATACTAATATAAAATCTATACCAGAGACAACTGGCCATTAAGGGCCACAGGGGCCAGGCTCCACAAATAATTTTATCAAATAAACCAAATTGCTCACTGACAAAAAGTGTCTTGATTAACAAATTACTTATTTTATAACCTATATTATTGTCATAAAAATAAAACATCATTTGCTATAAGAAAATATATTTACTATCAGATTAATTCATACTTGGAGTCATTTCCAGATAAATAGTACAAGGGATATTAGACATAAGAATACACACTGTTACTCCTAGTTGCCACATTGGTGGAATGCATGCAGGACCACCGAGAGCTTATATGGGACTTTATAGCAGATCCTTTTAACTTTTGTTTTTTGAATAAATGAAATATGTAGAATGTTTTTTTTTTTTTTTATTAATAAAGCAGTCTTAAAGATTTTATTTCTGTTAGTAAAAATAATGTTAATTTTGTAAGGATAGGAATCATTATGGATCCAGAGAAAAATCTCCAGCTCCTCTCAACAGCCCTGAATATGCATGAGTTTACAGAGCATTGGAGTCATCTCTATTGGGACCTAAGCTCAGTGTATTCTTAACCACTTAACTATGTGTGTGTGAGTTTGTGCTTTACAATGTTTAGCAGTTTATATTTTTTACTAATTCAGTAATTGGGCTGCAATTTGAAAAAACTGGAGACCTACAAATACCCACTGTTGTCCATTCATCTGTCCATCTGTATTTCCTTAATCTCGAGAACAAAGTTACATAGATGAAAGATGAGACCAGATATGGAAAATTTAAAGGCAGGAGGTCCTGATTAACTATATAAGAACTTCAAATGCAAACTAGAAGTCACATTATTTCAATTCAAAAATTTTCTTCTGAAACGAGTTAGATAGATGACCCGTACAAATCCATTGCTAATGTTAAAGTATGATGTACAAGGGCAAGATACTAAAGTACTAATTTGAGGTGGAGAGCATATATTTTAAATTAAATAAACTAAAACTATGATAAAAAATTGCATGTCACAATAAATAATTGCTTGTTCATCAATAGTTCTTAGTAAGATATCATTTTAAAATTTAACAGTTTCCATTTAAAAAATTTTGGCAATTTTATGATTTTACTGCTAAAAATAACAATGTTTTTATCAAGAAATGAACTGCTAAGTTATAGTAACCAAAATATTTTTGTTATAACTTAGCAGTTGATTTCTTGACATTTGAATATGGTATCTTATAAGTTTCACACAATTCTTTAATAAATGATTATAATTATAAGCATAAACATAAACATAAGAAAAATGTCAAAGAATAATCTGTACAATGAAATTATATATATAATTCTTAAAATTTACAGTTTATAATTTTAAAATTTAGCTGATGATGTCAAGATAGAGTCATTATCATCACAAGTTATTTGCCAGGGATGACAGATATGATACAATTATTTCATACTACTATCATTCATTTTTATTTAAATCAAAAATAATTATAGAAAAATACACTTACTGAATGAATGTACAAGGAGGTGAATGAGGACATCCAGACTTGCAGCTTTTACCATTATTTTGCAAGCTGCTGGTCGATCTTCCAAAACCACTTCCTTTGAATTGGATTTTAACATTTCTGTCAGCCATGATGAACGAATGGAATTAACTGAAAAAATATTTTATATATTATTTTTGTAGCTAGTCAATGNGATGAACGAATGGAATTAACTGAAAAAATATTTTATATATTACTATAATTGTAAAATTTCAAGTATTCATTTCTTCTGTCTACAAATAATTAAGTAGATATCTTTCAAAATAATTAAAATATTTTAAATGTAAAAAGAATTGTTTTTAGATAAGAAACAAATCATCATAATTTTTTTTCACTCAGTAAATCAAACAAAAAAAATTTCAGATAAGTTCATTTTTCCACATTTTTAAATTTATATAATAAATATATATATAGTCTAGCACAGGAGTCGGCAACCTATGGCACATGGGACAATTATCAATGGCACTCTGATTGAATAGAAATGTAGTAAAAATTAAATTTTAATTATTAATTTTTGAATTCCTTTATAACTGGATCAATTTTGATGCTATATATAACAAAATTGGTAGGATCATTCATATTGGCACCTGAAATAACTTAAATAAATAAGTTCAGCACAATGTCACTCAAAGGTTGCCAACCCCTGGTCTAGCATATTGAAAATGTTTTAATCATAATTTTTGATTTTATATATAAATACATATTAAATTGTATTGCTTAATTCTGATGAAGATGTTTATTATTGATATTTAATAATAGATGTTTATTAAGATGTTTATTAATTATTATTAAATTATGAATGTTTATTATTTATTAATTAATGTTTAAGATGTTTATTAATTAATAAATGTTTTTGGTTCCATATCAAACTTTCTGTTACATAGAAAAAATTGATATACAGTACATAATGGTTTAGTAAAAAATTCAGTTATCAAGCTGTTAATGTGTACTTGTTTCAATAATGGTGCCAAATTTTACACTATATATTTGAAACTAACTAAAATATATATATAAAATTTTAAACAGTTTCATAAAATTACTTTTTAAATATCTCAAACATATAAACATTTAGCTAATTTTTTTAAAAAATTACAATACCTTTCAACATAATTAAATAAAGATTCAGAATATGTTTTTATACACATTGAAGAACACAATAATACTGAATCATAAAGATAAAGTATTCTGAAAGTTTATATATAAATAATTAAATTATTATTATTTATATTATATCTATAGGAAAAAGTATTTTAAATTATTTTTAGTCATTCAAAATTATATTGTATGTCTTAATTTCAAAAATTAAACAGTTTAACATAAACTGTATCAAGAAAATATGAATTCAGTAAGTTAGTAATTTATCTAATATAAATTACAAAACAAAAAATTCATCCTAAGCCATTATTCATTCTTGATTAAGGTTTTTCTAAATTGGGAGTGGCCCTCCTCATCTTATACATTGCATTTACACACACAAATTGTGGTTAATTTCTACATTTGGCTATGTTTATTGGATTTCTTTGTAGGGCTACTTTTCAAAAAAGCCTCGTTAAAATGTATCATCATTAGACTCTGATTTAATGCAAAATCCAATGACAATGCATTGAAACCAAGGATATACCTTCTCATTGAATTTAGGCATGTCTTCAATGTTATTGTTGTTGTATAAGTTATGGCAATACAACACTTGGGCGATCTGCCTAGGGGGGGAAGCTTCTGGGAGGTCTTTTTAAAGGAAAATGGCCCCTATTTAGGCATTACAGACATGGAGAAAACCCAAAAATTCCATATGGTCAGCCCATCCAAGCAAGGCACAAACCCACAACTGAACTTCCAGTGTTCAGGGAATGAAGACCACTTGGCCACTGGTGGGCCTTGTATGTCCTCAAAACTTCAGCCTTCTTAATTAGAAGTAGATGAAGTTTGAGAAGATTTGAGGACATGATACAAAGCAAGTTAAATAAAAATATTTAAAAATACTAGGACTTANTTTACACTATATATTTGAAACTAACTAAAATATATATATAAAATTTTAAACAGTTTCATAAAATTACTTTTTAAATATCTCAAACATATAAACATTTAGCTAATTTTTTTAAAAAATTACAATACCTTTCAACATAATTAAATAAAGATTCAGAATATGTTTTTATACACATTGAAGAACACAATAATACTGAATCATAAAGATAAAGTATTCTGAAAGTTTATATATAAATAATTAAATTATTATTATTTATATTATATCTATAGGAAAAAGTATTTTAAATTATTTTTAGTCATTCAAAATTATATTGTATGTCTTAATTTCAAAAATTAAACAGTTTAACATAAACTGTATCAAGAAAATATGAATTCAGTAAGTTAGTAATTTATCTAATATAAATTACAAAACAAAAAATTCATCCTAAGCCATTATTCATTCTTGATTAAGGTTTTTCTAAATTGGGAGTGGCCCTCCTCATCTTATACATTGCATTTACACACACAAATTGTGGTTAATTTCTACATTTGGCTATGTTTATTGGATTTCTTTGTAGGGCTACTTTTCAAAAAAGCCTCGTTAAAATGTATCATCATTAGACTCTGATTTAATGCAAAATCCAATGACAATGCATTGAAACCAAGGATATACCTTCTCATTGAATTTAGGCATGTCTTCAATGTTATTGTTGTTGTATAAGTTATGGCAATACAACACTTGGGCGATCTGCCTAGGGGGGGAAGCTTCTGGGAGGTCTTTTTAAAGGAAAATGGCCCCTATTTAGGCATTACAGACATGGAGAAAACCCAAAAATTCCATATGGTCAGCCCATCCAAGCAAGGCACAAACCCACAACTGAACTTCCAGTGTTCAGGGAATGAAGACCACTTGGCCACTGGTGGGCCTTGTATGTCCTCAAAACTTCAGCCTTCTTAATTAGAAGTAGATGAAGTTTGAGAAGATTTGAGGACATGATACAAAGCAAGTTAAATAAAAATATTTAATAAAAACCAATTTTAAATTTATTCTATTACTTTAATAATCATTTTTTCATATACAAATTCAATTAATTTTATATAATCCTCATCATAAATAGTATAATAAATTTTTTAAAAAGTAGAAGTATAAAAATTTGAAAACTTTTATACTTTCATCCGTCTTTAAGAAGTGCTTAGAATATAGAACATTATGTATTCTAAGTGCTTGAAGTTGGTTTTATTCTAAGATTTTATATTCCATTAAAGCATATACTTCTATTTTAAATATATGGAGTCTTTTAATATATATTTTAAATATATGGAGTCTTTTATGCATTCTAAAAGTTTTCTTCATTACATTAAAAATATAATTAATACAAATATTGTATTATATAATTTAAGTACTGTATATAAAATTATTGTAAACAGTGTGTTTTTAAAAATTGCTCATTGATATTAATAAATGTGTTGTTCAAATCTGGAACTTAATAATTAATAATAATTTTGTAAATGATAAATACTTTCTACAGAATTTGAGTTTAGATAATAAGTTTTTAGAAGGATTAATATGTTATAGGGAATGGGAAATAACATTTATCAAGACAAACATGATTTATTAAATTTGAAGTAAAATATTTTATTCAGTTTCAATTGTATATATTTAGGATTAAGTCATTAGTACTTTTTTAAATCAAATGGAAACAACTTCCTCAAATTTGGTTATAAATTTTGTAGCCTAATTCACCAAAAAAAATAAAACTAAAAAAAATTAAATTTGTATTATTTTAATAATAAACAAACTATAAAATAATAAACTAAATTAAGCACAAAAAAATCCACCTGGAAAATGTTAATAAATGATACTAGTAAACACTTTCTTCTCTGTTAAACAGGAGAAAATTGTTTGCTACTGTTGCCACCACAGCCCTGACAACATATGTCACCAATCCTGACAGTGAGGTGCATTGCATTTGACCAAGCCCGCTTCCTACATTGCACCTTGCACAATGAGCAGCTTAAATATTTGGAGCAATTGGAGATTTACAAAGCAGTTAGAAAAAATGCAACAATCAACTTTAAAAAGGCAGACTCCTTCCCCTGATATGGAAGACATTCAATGGTGTTTAGTTTTGCAATTCTCTCTTTTGTCACCTAGTATGTTGTGTGGACAGCAACCATCAATCTTAAGAGATTACAGTATTCAAACTATTTGTTTTATCAGATGCATCCAAATTTTCAAAGGTCATTAGCCCAATAATGATTGTTAAACATGGGAGAAAACATTTGCTAGTGCCATTTATTAACATTTTCTTGCTGGACTTTTGGTTTTTTGGGTGCTTAATTTACATATATCCAGTTGTTTGGGTTGTTGANGTATTTCTGTTAAAAGCTAACAGATAATAAATAAATATAAAACTAAGCTAACAGATAATAAATAAAAAATAAAAATATTACACTCAAATAGAAGGAATACTGATGGGAACATGTATAGGCCTGAGATTGGCAGAAATATTTATGATACTAATAGATGAAATTTGTATAATATTTGTATTATAAAAACTGTCCTGTAGTGGTATATAAATAGCCATACAATACAAACTATATTGTATAGCTATTGATAAAATATAATATAGGAAATTGTGCAATTGTAAAACCACGTTCTAACATCAAGATATTTTATCCTGTTACGCAAGTTTAAAATGTATTTGTCAAATGGAAATGAAATTTGTATTCAGTATACATTTAAAATTATTATTACACAATTATCTATATGAAAATTTGTTTCTGATTGTTTTTAAATATTTATTAAACAAGAACATTGTTTTTTATTTAAACATCAAAAACAGTTATTAATACAATAGCTAACTGCTTCATCTGTGATTCTATGAAATTTGCTATAATTTAAGCAGGGGCGCCGCTAGCTGTGTGAACGCCCGTGTGCAATACCGATTATGCTGCCCCCTGTTTAACTACGATTACCTATGCTGAGCTTGCCAGAAAGGCTCTTTGCCGCCCCCTGGACGTGCCGCCCGCGTGCGGTGCACGCCTTGCACGCCTGCTTACGGTGGCCCTGAATTTAAGCACATTCTAATGCACCTCATTCATCTTTGGAGTCAAAATGAAACTTTCGATGTTCCAAATTCCAC